ATTAATTGAAGTTCAAGTAAAAAGAACTTTGGTGCTGAGAGACAGCATTAGAAACATGATAGACTATTAGAGTAAAAACTGCTGGTGTGGCCAATGGAAGATGTGTTTGTGCTAAAACCATTTGGAAGTGCAGTCTTCTTGAGCTAGCTCTAGCGATCTGTTGTACAATACTGATTCAGATTGTATGGGACTCTGCAGTACCAACACAAAGGGGCTGCTGGAGTTGTGTACCTTGGCAGACTTACATTCACCAGAAAAAAAGATAACTGCTATAAATAGCTACAGTAATTAATAATTTTTTTGTCAGTGAGCAATATTAAGAAGTCGGTGAAAGTAAATACTTCTTGGACTTTTTTGGTAAAGTACATGAAAGTTACTGGGCCTGTCAGAGATAATGACACAGGATCCGGTGATTATGATTTTTAAATTGCATCACAGGAGGATTCAAGTCTGTTGTCACAGAGCGTGTTTGAGAATTTTGAAGAAAAAATTGTACAGGGAAATCAGACTATAAGTCTTAGGACGGGAGGTACGGGTGGTCAGAGGCAAAATAAGGGCTCCAGAGTTTAACTGCATGAATACTCGTACCTGGCAGCTATTTCATGACAGCACGGCGGTAAGATGGTGAAAACCAAAATAGTCTGCAACGTTAATTCTGCATAGTATGAAACTGAATCATTCTCTGTTTGTTGTTAAGTAGCAATTATTATAATTATATCTATACATTATAATTATAAACCAAAAAAATACTGATTTCTGAGTAGGTAAACCTGATAGGTTTTAGTCTGCTGTCACAGACATGGGAAAAAGATGGTGTAGATATGGCATGTTGAGAAAAGACACATTGAGGAAGGATTATCATATAGTTAAAAGTAAGGCCTGGAAAATAAAACATGTCAATTCCAGTCCCAGGTGCTTGAGGTATTCAGGAATAGATTTTTAAAGGTAATGCAGTTTTGCTATGAGTAAAATAGGCAAATGCCACATTTATTAGAGTTATTGCTTAGGGATTTTTATTATTATTAGTATTATTATTGCTGTTATCTCACATCCTCTTGCTTTTAAAGCTTATTTAAAAGGAAAGATATGTAGAATTGAGGATTATTACTGATTTTCCATTGTAAAACACTAGTGGACAGCAAAAAGTTTTCTCTGACTGAACTGCTAAATTGATTATGTAGGAGCACAGTTTATATAAAAATTGCACAACAGCAAATCTTGTTAATGTCTCAGTTATGAAGACTTCAAGCATTATTTCTTGAGACAGCAGCCAGATTCCATGATTAATGTAACATGTTGAGAAACCGTAGTGCAGTATCTTGTAAGTGCAGTGACCATGATACAGCTTTTTTCTGACACTGTAGGTGATTTGTCATTAAAAAATAAACATTTGCCAACATTTTCTGCACAGTATAAATGTTAGTATATTTTATGGTAGTTCCAAGGCAAGAGCATCTTCAGAAATAATTCATTTTGTATAAATAAACTATGTAGTGCATATGGCAAGTTGCTTAACATCACATAAAGGTTTAAGTAGGAGATGCACTCATTTTGCTTGATCTGTTTTGTCATTATAAGGTGGAAAAGGGATTTGCTGGGATAATTTTTCAGATATTTGCCTATGTATCTAATGAAATAAATTTGTTTCATTAGGCAAAATGTAGGTTTGCAGATTTTTAGAAAGGTGAAAGGCAGTCAGTCGCTTAAAAAAAATTCTGGAACTGTCCACCCATATCATAAACAGATGAATCAGATGGAATCTTTGGAATCAGCAGGTGGTAGGAAAGAGATGTTATTCCTAAGAGATAGATATAGATATAGATATAGATATAGATATAGATATATATAAAAACTCAGATGTCTTAGTTCATATAAATTTTTAAGGTATTTTGGTCTAGAAGCAGCAGGGTGAGAGGTAAGCTCTGATGTTACGGACACTAAATTTTGATAAACAAAATTATAAGTCCCCTGGAGCACACTTTGTCATCTGAGAGTCTCGGTATGTTTTGTGTAGAGCAAAGATTCAGTCAGTCATTTATTCATGCAGCACCTGCTTTTATTCACAGAATTACTTTCTTGGAATATTTGTGGAACAAATTGTATTTGTGGAACAAATTATAAGAGAAATTATCAGCAGAGAATTTTCAAATATTGGTGTGAATAGAATATCACATTCTGTGACATTTGCTGTATTCCGCTCTGCTGCTGGGGCAGCAACACATGCTGTAAAGTTGAATGACATCTGGTGCATCCACATAGCCAGAGTTTGTTATACAAGACAGGATAAAATTTGTAATCTCTTTCTTTTTGAACTTTGGTTATTTTCAGTCTACAGAAAGAAGGTTAGTGGCTGTATGCTTTCCATCTAATTGCTATTCATTGGGATTAGAAGTGAAGCTAGGTTCACCCATATTGTGCCGTTCAATTTTGTCAGGCCAGTTATCACCCTGATAAGGACTGTACTGTTTTAAAATTATAGCACAGTGAGTAGGATTTGTCTCCCCAGATTTCAACATCCTCCACAATGTAGATATCTATATTTGAGCTACTTGTCTAGACTCCCTCTAGTCAACGCAAATAGGTCAGATGAGTCACCCTTGTCTTAGAATACCTATTTTAGGATGTGATGAATTGTGCCCTGAAAGTGCTTATTTCTCTCCATTGACTCTAAGGGAGGAGAGTTGAGAGAACAAAATCTCTTGTCTGTACTTATACATGTCTAAATTGATGTTGTGAGATTAATCCACGTTGATACGTACCAAGATATGTAGTTAAAAATACTGAGTTGGAAAGTTTTAAGGGCTTTATCCTTGAGAAACATGTCACCTAGAAGGAAGCAGAATCATTTTAATAATCTTTGAGTTCATGTGCTAGTCTCTAAACAGGCCACCTCATTCTTCTGAAAAGGTGTGTTACTGTTTAGCAGGGATTTCTTCACCGTTTCAAAGTAAATGGTAGTAAGGGGTACGCAGTTCCCTCATTTGGGTTTTATTTGAAAGATGGGGGTGACTGGTCCTCACTGTGCATTTCACAGGCCCTGTTGCAGTGTCTGCACAGTGGTTATTTGATAAAGCTGTTTGATGAAAGACCAAAAATATTATTTTTATAGTTCATTAGTATGATGATTGTTCCTAGGGTATTAGTAACAGCAGAAAGATACCAAATTGTGAAATATAAGGCAATTCATACTCTAAATGTTCTTGCCCATCTTGCTGTCTAGTAGTCAAGAACTACTCACAGAAAGTCTTACTAGACCTTTATATCAATTTTTTCTCTATCACTTCTTTCCTTTCTGGTTGTTGGGGTTTTTTTTGGTGCTTTTTATCTGAACGTATTAGGTGCACACTTAAGAAATACTAAAAGAGATGGTGGAGCATGAAAGAAATGAAAAAGTTCTTTAACACCACAATGCCAGTTCTTGCAGTACAGCACTGGAGACTTACATTCTGCCTATCCTCCTCAATGTTTTCTTTTTGAAGAAGAATGTGAGTGCTCTCAGTAGGTTGGTTTTAACATTCCAAGCATATTTAATTTGTGTGTGTGTGTTAATAGTCTAGTCCACGTGCAGGCATGTGCAGGAGAATTATAACTACTGCTTGTGCAAGACATCTACTACAGCTTGGTTGCTTGAATTTCTTTTTATTTCAAGGTTGGTCTTCCAAAATTATTTTCTGAGGTTTCATGTGGAGTTGAATGTAAGTTAAATACTTGCAAATGTGCCAGTAAAATCCCTCTCCCTTATCCATTTAGCATTAAACTCACTAAAATCTATCTGAGAGCAGTGCCGCTCTGGTTGAACATCATCAGTATAAGGTTGAACTTTACCAAATGATAAATGCACAGTGCAAAAATACAAACATCTGTTCTTCAAAAAACAAGATTTAAAAGTAGAAATCTGCTTTCAAAGTGAAGTCAGTAAGATTTTCCATCTCGTGAAAGTCTTTTAAACTTTGCCCTCCTAGAGTAACTAGTGTAAGTAATAATCATACCACTGTGCAGAATTTGTTTACTCTGCAGTGTTTTAGTGTAACTCTTATCAACATTAACAAATACTGAACTGTGAGCTTATTTCTTGACTGATACGTAAAGGAGAAACAGTTTAACATACTTTTTGCCTTTAAAGCATGTGCAGAAACTGCTTGAGTTGACTATTCTTACTAGAAATACATATTCTGTTTGTTGGTTTTAATGTGTTATTCTTCTGTTACTATTTAGCACGTATTATTAGTTAGTAGATGTACTGTAGTATCCCCAAATGATCTGACTGGCATTTATTGTAATATAGATGTGTTAAGCATTTTACAGGCAAAGGATAGTCACAAGCACAGAAGTCAGGGCTGAAAGACTCTGCGTTGTAATTAGATCTGTGTGGATGTGTATGCATTATATGTAATCCACGAGCTTTGCACCAGAGGATCTTGATTATAGGCTTAGGGCCTAAATTCCTCTTTACTTAAATGTACACATTTGGTCAAAGCGAACACCAAGTGTTACCAAGGTTCCTGAAAATCGGATTAGGACACTCAAAAGCTACAGGCCCTGTGTGTGTGTGTGTGTCTCTGTGTGTCTGTGTCTGTGTGTGTGTGTGTGTGTGTGTGTGTTACGAGCATCACTCATAAACCAAAATCCGTTTCCTTTATTTTGAAGTTAAGAGTTGGGGTTTGCGTTTTGTTCTGCTTTTTAACAGCAGATCCTTCAGTGAAAGAAAGAAAGAAGATTAGAAGCATGATAGGAAAGTGCATTGTTCTTGACACGTGTCTAATTTCCTCATGAGTACAGGCGTACACTGAAGCCAAAAATGTGTAAAGCAGCAGTGTAACATCATGGCCTTTGGTCATAGTAAAGGAGGAGAAATGGCCTTTGTGCCAGCTGAGGAATGACAGAATACCTTTGTTACAGCTGCTCTTCTGACAG